GATGCTATTTGCCTTTTGAAAAGCAGATTTTCCCAAAGTTAAGGGCAGGAAGATACTAAAGAGACCAGACCATGATTGAGACAGAACTGACTGATGAAAATGCCAGACTGACAGAGCTCAACATTAACTGAGCTGTGTACTGCACAAATGGGAAATTTATAATCTTGGTTTTTAAATGTTCTTTGGATTGAGAAAGTGGTATATATATATATATATATATCCTGTGTTTGGCCTATATATGATTTTTATAATTTTACCAGTTCTGAGAGTAGATGATTGTATCTACTTGAAATTTCAGTGTACTGTCCGGATGACCCAAGAGGTTGTGATATGATTTTGCAGCCACTCCTGTTTCCCTTTCTGTGAAATGCCTGTTAATGTAGTGCTCATTTTAAAAACCTATTTGTCTTCAAAGTATGTCTTTTTAAAATTAGTTTTTAACCCTTCATTTATTTTATATGCTAATATTTTTCCAGGTATATGTGGTCTAAATAGCTTCTTTCCATTTGTGGATTGATTCTTTAAAAATGTTAATGGAGTCAAATTGATGCATTGTTCTTTTGCAATTTAATGTATCATGCATCATAGTTATGAAGGAGGGTGAATAGGGTCAACATACTTTATATGCCTGTGTGAAAATGAACAATGAAGCTTATTGGGATGGTTTGGGAAGGGTGAGAGATGAAGGACAGTGATGATGGAGGAGGATGAGTCTGATCAAGCTACATTGTGTGTATGTCTAAGCATCATGCTTATACAGCTGGGTGCCAGTGGCTCACACCTACTTAGGAGGCTGAGATCTAAGGATCATGGTTCACAGCCAGCCCGGGCAGAGAAGTCTCCATGAGACTCTTATCTCCAATTAACCTCTCAAAAGCTGGAGGTGGAGATGTGGCTCAAAGTGGTAGAGCACTAGCCTTGTGCGAAAGAGCTCAGGGACAGCAACCAGGCCCTGAGTAAGTTCAAACTCCACAACCAACCAAAAAAAAAAATCACCCTTTGTACAAACAGATGAGAAAATTATGTTAAAGTGATTTTAGACTATGGTGGCTAATGTATGACTGATTGGAAACAAATAGATTGGAAGCCTGTTACATTTTTGAAGAACTATACTGCCAAGTGAATCATATACCATGAGATGTATATATGCCAATTTGGAGAACGGCAGTAGTTCCCTGGTATCTACAGACTTGTGGTTCCTAAGAGATGACCACTGAGGCGAAGCCACGTGTGCTGAGTCCAGGGCTGTACTGCAGATGCTAGGTTCCTTTGTCCATAATGCCACCCAGCTCCATTAAAGACATGCTGCCTCTTTCGATATGCTAGGTGAAATTTAGAAAAAAAGAAAAGCTAGCCTTCTTTCCCCATTGTTACAAAGATATCATATACCTTTCATTCTGAAAAATCCTTTTTAATTTTTACATTTAAGACTCAGATCTCTGGGGAATTAGTGTTTGCCTATGGATTGGAGTACAGATGGAAATTTCATTTCTTTCCTTGTGGTCTTCTGACATCTATGAAGTTGTTATGTATGTGGAGTGTGTTTGGGGGCTGTTTAATTTTCTACTTGTATATCATATTGGACCAATACCATACTCTATGCACAACTTTGCCTTTATAATAATTTTTAGTATTTGGTCAGCAAACTGCCACTTGTTTTACTTCTCCAGGAATGGTCTGGCTAGCCTTGGCTTCTGATTGTTCCCATATATATTTTAATAGCAGCTTGTCAGGTTCAATGAGATGTTGCATTCATTTTGGGTTGGCACCATATTGACTAGCAGATCATCTGGGAAAGTCAACATTTTTTTTTTGGTTGGTAGTGGAGGTTGAACTCAGGGCCTGGGCACTGTCCCTGAGTGCTCAAGGCAAGCACTCTACCATTTTGAGCCACAGCACCACTTCCAGTTTTCTGGTGGTTAATTGGAGATAAGAGTCTCAAGAGCTTTCCTCTGCCCAGCTAGCTTTAAACTGTGATGCTCAGATCTCAGCTTCCTGAATAGCTAGGATTACAGATGTGAGCCGTCAATGCCTGGCTGAAGGTCAACATTTTTATGATATTACAACATAATATTCACAAGCACATTACAATTTCTATATGTAGCTTTATATTCTCCTTGCATGTATTTTTTTATTTGTAGAAAAGCCACTGTATCCATAATTACTAATAAAGACACCACTATTGATTCCTGTTAATGGGCTTACCTTAAATTAATTAAGTTAGAAGATGAAAAGGCTTTAGCCTAGTTCCTAATCCATGCCCATTTTTCTCCATCCCATTCAGCTTCATCTAATTGGAAATGTTTAATTTGGATACAGCATGGCTCAATTTATACCTGACAAGCTAAAGAGAGCCAGTGCTCTCCAGATAGACTATATGTGTCTTTGGGTGCCCCTCCCCAAGTTCCCACACCACACGGAGGTGCAGGTACCCTGAACATGGAGAGCATGCTAATTTAGGAAAGGTAATGGGCAGCTTTGGAAATCTACTCTACCCAATGCCCTTTATACTTGTTTGTGGGAATGTCTTTAGGTCTCTTACAAAGGATTTTCTTTTCTAGTCAACCTTTGAGTGAGGGGAAGAAAATAGACACTTGTGTGAGCAAAAAGAATGGTTCTTGCAGTAGAGATGGCTTGAGTTTTGCGGCCAGTGTTTACAAAGTGAGCTTCTGTTCACGCAATCATAGCTAATGTCCCCTTGTTGGTGAGTAATAATCCTGGCATGCCAGCACCACTGGAGATCTCGTTCACCAGCCAGCTCCACAACAACATGCCTGTGCTGACAGATAGGAAGTCAAGTGGGCTCCATTGATGAATACGATACAGACAACATATGATCTTTTGAGAAAACCAGCTGGCCTGATTCCAGAAGGAGGACACAGATGGTCAGAGAAGATGGGGAGAACTAAGAATCGTGTAAAGGAGACATAGAATTGTATTTCTGAGTAAAAACTAATGACAGCTCTTCCTACCTCGGGGGAAGGCAATGTCACAGTGCGTATCAGTCTCTAAAATGGCCATTGGTACCATCTCAGTATTGGAGGATGGGGGAGCCCCTGGGTGTCAAGAGTGGGCAATGTCAAAAACTGGCAGCTCTGGGGAGAGACGGGAGCTCACCTACAACAAGGGAGAAAGGGCAGGTAGCTGGCAGAATGTGGAGACCCTCTATCATTTCCCGTCTCCAGTGGCATCTGCCCTCGTCGCCCTATGAGGGGTGAACTCATGGAAGTCAGGTGAGCTCCGTGGCTCACTGGTCGAAGACAGTGGGGAAAGAGAAGCTCTTCAGGGGGCGAGAGCAAGGGGTACAGGCAGGGAGACGCTCATTCGCTTCCTGATTGCATAGAAATCGTGAACAGGGGTAACCTGGGCTACCTCAGCAAAACTGAGCCCCTAACCTACAGCTCATGCTGCACCTTGTTGATTTTAAAATCTATTGGCACAAAAGCTCCCGAAGTGGCTCTGGGAGAGAGTGATAAAGGCAAACCTGTGGGGGGGGCAGGAATGGGGTGCCACGCCAAAGACCTTGTGTTTGGATTTTTAATTAAAAGATACTTCTTTTTCTTTTCATCTGTTTTTTTTAACTTTGAGCTCTTCTTCACTCATTTACCTCTTTTTGTTTTGTGATCTCTTCCTTCTGGGAGGCGCCCTGATTTGGGGGTATTGAATATAGGCTTTCTGTCCATCGCATATGCCACTTGAATCTGGGTCCTGTTTGTCTGCTACTAGCAGAAACTTAGTTCCCTTGGCCTTTGAGCCTGAATTTTCATCTGGACAATACAGCCTCAGAGGTTGTGAAGGGGGAAAGGACAGTGTAGTGCCTGCCTGCACTCAGGAGCCATGTTATTGACCACCTGGCATTCCCAGGCTCCTGGCCCATTCCTGGCAAGTAGCAGGACATGGCCAGTTAGAACTGGATTCATGGGAAACACCAGTGGAACTTCTCCATTCATCCTCCTAGAGAAGACAGCCAGTCAGCATGCCCAGTGATGCTCTGGACCATCCCACATCCCAGGGGAAAAGGAGCTTGAAGAGGGGTCAAAGATCAGTGTAGCTCTAAGATAGGTGCTAGCCCCATGACCAAGAAGTGGGGACTTAAAGTCTACTCTGTGTGTGTCACGTTATCTTCTTGGAACTCAGAGAGGTTATGAGACTTAACAAGGTGGCATGACTCTTCATAATGCATCTGGAGTGAAACCCAGCTCTTGTCATTCCAGATGCACCCTCTGGCTGAGTGCATGTGGCTGCGTGCAGAAGGCTATGTTAGTATGAACCTGAGGGTGCAAAGCTGATACATTTGTATGTATTTTGATGTATATGCATGAATACATTAGGGATACAAAGAGCATGGTACCTACGCACAGCCAGTACCACTCTATTGTTGAACTATCACCTTAGGACAATGTCACCTTGCCCACCCTTCTGGCCCACTTGTTTGCTGTTGTCCTGGCCAGTGTGACTGAGTCAGGCCTAGTCACCTTGCCAGGCAGCAGAGGTAGCCTTGGGGTCTTAAGAGCTGTTACACTGGAGATGAATGCATCCAGCTTCATAGAAAAGGGAGATCCTGAAGGCCACACAGCCCAATGTGACAGGGACAGTATGGACTGCGACCTGTCTGGCTTAGGGCCCAAGTGGACAGAAAGCAATTTTCCCCACCTTTAAATTTATGCCAAGTAGGGAAATCCCCATCTTGTGTTGGTTGTAGTGCTGGTCTCAAATTCATTCATCTCCATGCCCTCTGGGGCTTCCTACCTGGTCTGACCACCAGCTTCAAGGCTGCTTAGGGGGACATGCTGTCTACACAACCTAGCCAGACCCAAGATGCTCTTTCCTTCTCTGGGTTTCAGAGAGGCAGGGTGGAAGACACTTTAGTGGTAGTAACCTTTGATGGGTCTGGTGTGAATGTGGGGCTTGACTGTACATCCAGGAAACTTCAGCCCATATTTGCAGTTCAGGGTCTAATTAGTCAAGGGCTGGGAGATGTAGGGTAGAGAAAGACCTACCTGAGCAGTTGGAAATCACCATCTCTTGGGCTTTGCTTTTAATCCAAATAGTTCGGATCACAATGCCATAGATGACACTGGAAGAAAAACAACCAAGGCAATATTAACATTGGTTTCTACAATGGGGGTGCAGAAGATGGCCCTCCCACTTCCCTGAGGATAAAGGCTGGAGGGAGGGGTCTCCTACCTTGGCTTGCTCCCTACTCATTCTGAAACTGGAGCAAAGACAAGGTCTATTGGATGGAGTAACTTACTTTTTAGGCAAGGACTCAAGGAAGTTAAGGGTCCAGGTGGTTGGAGGTACAGCCAGTGATTAGACTCCAAGTAAAGTCTTTGGAGACAGAAGGACCCAGGTCTCTTCATCTACTTACGGCAAAGCTGTTCTTTCACTATTTCCCGCCCTCTCTCTCCTTCCTTCCTTCCTTCCTTCCTTCCTTCCTTCCTTCCTTCCTTCCTTCCTTCCTTCCTTCCTTCCTTCCTTCCTTCCTTCCTTCCTTCCTGTCTTTCTATTTCTGTCTCTGTCTCTCTCTGTCTCTCTGTCTCTCTTTCTCTCTCTCTCCTCCCATTAAGGGGCTTGAACTCACAGCCATTCATTCTGGCTTGGCTCTCTTGATCATGTCTGGAGATCTACTGATTGAAACACAACTCAACTCTGGCATTTTATTGGTTAGTTGGAAATGGAATCTTGCAGTCTTTTCTGCCCAGTCTGGTTTTGATTCTCCTGACTTCAGCCTCCTCCCTGACTAGGATTACAGGTATGAGCCATTGACAGATGAATACTGTTTTAAATCACTAGATTTTGGAAAATTTGTTGCAAAGTCATTAGTACCTAGTAAACATTCTGTGAAATGTGGTTATTAACACCAACCTCTTGCATTTTTGATTGTCAAGTATGGATCTGAAGGGATAAGCATGCTGCTTAAAAATCAAGAATTTCCTTTCCCTCATTTTTAATTTTTGGCCTGTTTTTCACACTTATCATTCTCCACTCTAAATGGTGCAACCTGTGCCTAGCAGAGTTAGTGACTGAAATCCATTGTCAGTATGTCTTGAACTCTGAGTCTCCTTAGACTTTCTTTTTCTTTTTATGTGGTGCTGGTCCTGGGGCTCAAACTCAGGGCTTAGGCATTGTCTCTGAATTCTTTAGCTTAAAACTAACCCTCTACTGCTTGAGCCACCACTTCATTTCCAACATTTTGATGGTTAATGAAGAATTCCAAATCTGGAAATAAGGCCACCAACTCAGTTAACAGGGCAAGGAGTCTTTATTAGCCATCCAGCAACTCCACCCCACTATTTGGGTAGTAGGATGCAATGAGGGCTTTTTCCCATGAGGGTCTTTTAAAGGAAAAAACATATGCAGGGGTGGGGGTGTGTGCCAAAGCAAACAAGCAGATTTACAGAAGCAAAACATAACCTTGAGCTGCAGAAGCAGAAGCAAAACATAATCTTGAGCTGGTCAGCATGACCATTACTTAATTACAAAATCTAAAACATAACCTTGAGTAGGGGTAAGCTTTTGGCTAATACAGCAATTCAGTACAGCTGGTGACAAACCTCAAGGTTGTCAGTGGCCTTCAGCAAAGTTTGTGATAAATTGCCAAGTTGTCATCCTGGGAAACTTGAGAGAGGGAGAGATGTTCTTTTACTTTTTAAAAAGCAAGGATGGGAAAGGCTTAGGCTGACTGCTGGCCATTTGACCTAGAGTTTCTCTCTACAGAGGGGTTCTGCCTTTAATATTTGGCCCTATTTTAATAATCAATAATTTTTTTCTGTTTCTGATTTCACATTTCATAGTTAATTGGAGATAAGAGTCTCACGAACTTTCCAGCAAAAGTTTTGGCCTGCAATCCTCAGAGCTCAGCCTCCTAAGTAGCTAGGATTACAAGCATGAGACCACTGGTATCCTGCTTAAGACTCTTTTTAATGCTATTTGACATTTCAAATTTATTAAGTACCTCAACAAAAAAATCCTTTGAGATACAGCACTGGTCTGCTTCAAAACTGCATAGTCATTCCTCTTGTAAACCACAGTTAAAAAAAAAAAAAAAAAGAACAGAGTTCCAGTTTGTAGTCGCTGACAAAGCAGTAATTGCTTTTAATGATCTTTAGACTCCAACTTAATTAATGACTGAGTTCGACCCTCTGTTCTGTATTGCTGTTTTTTTATTTTTGCTCAGTAAGGTTCTCTGGGAACTCCAGAGCCCTGTGGACCTTTGGAGAATATGCCATTTCTTCTTGTGATCTTGCCAAGGAATATTTCTGGAATTTATGTGCTTTTACTAAAGAAAAATAGGAGACAAAATTTATCAGTGAGTCTCTTTACCCTAAATTGAGTATTTGTTAGGTCAAGGAACTCCTTTCCTGAGTCAAAGAACTACAAGGAAAGTTTCCCTCTACCACAAAATGTTAGCAGTGCTTGGCCATTATAACAACACACACACACACACACACACACACACACACACACACACACACACACACACACACACACACAGCTGGTCCTGAGGCTGGAACTCAGGGCTTGAGCACTGAGCTTTCCTATTCAAGGCTAGCAATCTATCACTTGAGCCATAGCTTGACTTCCAGCTTTTTGCTGGTTAATTAGAGATAAAAGTCTCATGGATTTTCATGCCTGGGTTGGCTTCCAACTGTGATCCTCAGATCCTAGCCTCCTGAGTAGCTAGGATTATAAGTGTGAGCCACCAGTACTTGGCTTATAATCCTAATATTTAATCAATCAATAATTCAACCAATAGTTGACTATCAACTATATATACAATAGAAGCATCTTATGAGTTAGGGTTTGGTCTCAAGTTTCCCTGTTTCTATATTTAGGGCCGATTAACAAGTCAGGTAAGTAGAAAGCTAGGATCAGTTTTATTGTGAGCTGGGCAAACATGTCATCACCTGGGTGTACCTGTCAGTTACTGTCAAACCAAGCTACTTTTTAGAATATAGTGGTCATGCATCAGAGAAAGAAATCTCTGCATTCATTCTTTTCTTTCTTTCTTATTTCCTGAGAGGTCAGTGAACAACCTGACCTCTGCAGCCAGCAGTAAAGAGCAGCTGGGTGGCAGTCAGGATGCACAGGGTGGAGAGTTACAGAGAGCTTCCTGTCCAAATCACCTTGTGCAAGAATATTTCTCATTTCTCATAACTGCAACCTCAAACTCAAGGCTCACTGAACTTTACAAATTGGAGGGCCTTCCCTCCTTCCCTCTTTTCAGCATAGATGTCTTCCCATTAGCCCCAGAAATCATAACAAAGTAAAATAGGAAGAGAAGCTCTTCTTTCTCGACTTCATCCTAAAGAACAAGAGTGGAATGAAATTTGGAAATGCAGCCAGAGACATCCACCAACAAAGGGAACAAACTTGTGAGAAAGGGTTTTAAATAGACTATATGGAGGGTCCAAATAAGTATAAGCTTTTAGAATGACTAAGTCAAAGCCCACCAAAATCAATACCAGGAAATGGGTACATGCAAAAGGGGGTGGGGCCAGGAGAGTTAGACGAATGAAGGGGAGACAGGGGAAGAGTGCAGTCAAGAATTCATTGTGTATAACACAAAATTAAGAAAAGTAAGGGAAGGGTTGGGTCGAAGTGGGGTAAGAATATTGAAGGGGTTGACACTGACCAAGTTGCATTGCATTCATACATTGCTTTGTTAAGTGGCACTTCCTTTGTACAGCTACATAAAGATACTGAAAAATTAAAAACAATGCTTCCAAGATAATAATACAGAAGATGTAGCTTCCTTTTTCGACAAGGTCGGTCCCATCCTTTTCCTTGGGCTTGAGCCTCATGTCCATGGGTGGTGCTGGGCAGGCCTCTGGGGACCTTTGGCCCTCTCCTCCCCAGAGCTTTGTTCCTCACAGGGGACCAACCCAGGGCTCTGCACAGTCTGTGCCCCATTCCTCAAGCAAAAGAAATAGATGTTTGTTGCATAGCACAACCACATATCAATGTTCCATGACACATGTCCATTTATTCTTTTTCATGTGTTGGCCACGGGGTCTTCTCTTTATACCTTTATCCCACAGATACAGAAATGATAGAAGGATGGGGAATCAAATTAGGTTGGAAGAACATAAGCACAGCAAAAGTAAAGCAATTAGACCTGGCTAATAACCTCTCTGCAACAATTAGACAGTTCTGTCAAGTGAATTATGAACCTGCGGTTGTTGTGACCCAGAAAAACAGTGCGTCGCCTGTGCTGTCATTCACTGCCACTTCACGTCTGAGGGGCCTGGTATCTCTGAAGATGGAAGGGTGACATCTTTATTCACGCTCAGCTCTCAGGAGACTCGTCACTGGCAGCACAGTGCCTCCTTCTCAGACTTTCTTCCTCCATCGCTTCTTTCCTTCCTTCCCTTCCAAATATGCCTGTGGATGCACTACTGTATGCCAAAAACAAATCTAGGCCCTATATTAGGCAGAAAGTCATATGTGAGAGGTGTGTGTGTGTGTGTGTGTGTGTGTGTGTTGTGAAAGACAGAAATAGAGTCAGAGAAGCAAAGACAGACAGAAAGAGAGACAACGAGACAGGGAGAGACAAAGAGAGATAAGAAGGACCTTTAGGTCTGAGAGATGAAATTTCACCAACTCTACCAGGAGCTAGTCAGAAAAATCCCTCACAGTGGGGCTGGTCTTGGTTAAAGAAGGGGAAGAGGGAAATGTAGCTCAGGGGTAGCTACAGTGTTTTCTCAGTATGCTTGAGGTCCCAGGTTCAATCCCCAGCAAGGAAACAGAAATAGGAGCTAGAAGATGTCTTTTTCCCCCAAGAGATGAGCCCGGTGGGGGAGAATAAGTAGAATGCATGAGCGAGGGGCTTCCTGTCAGGTAGGGAATGCTTGGGGGATGCTCCAGGATGAAGAAGGTCATAGTGGAGCTTTTGGGATTCCTGGGTGCCTGGGTGATGAGCAAGTAGGCCCAGGCGAGATGCCCGCTGAATGGAACTCACTTTTGAAATCATTCCTAAATTTCATTGCCAACAAATTTAGCTTTGCCTTTTCAAGGACGTGGAGGTCAAGCTGCAGCATGAGGCTTGGAGGAGCTGGCACAAAAAACAAACCCAAGTGAATGTGGAGGAGGAGGAGAGGATTCTGACAGAGAGACACAATGGTAGATCCTGCCCCTGGGTGGCGGGAGCTCTGCGTGGCACAGCAGGGGCTTTGTTGGGAAGGGTAGCTGGGACTGATGGGAAATCAAGGAGGAAGACCACAGGACTCACTGATGCCTCACGATGTTGCCAGCCACGGGCGTGGCTCCTGCCAGAGCCTCCCCTCCTGCCCTCCCCTCCCTGGGCCTCCCAACCTTGCTGCCAAGACTTGCCTTTCTCTAGTTGTCTAAAATCCCTTCACTCTCCCTCCCAGCCTTGTCCCACATGCCCCGAGGCCAAGAGAAGGGCAGAAAGTTGAAATAAAGGTGGATGTTAATTTGCAGATTCATCAGCGTTATTCAGAAAGCCTCAGAAGGCAGAGGTCTGGCCAGCCGTGACCCATGCTGTCACATCTCCTGCCCTATACACCTCTTGAGCAGGAGCAGGTTGCTTTTCTTTGTTCATGTCTCAATCCACTCTTGTGGACCATTCAGGAGCTCAACCACCATGGACAGCATTCCCCGTGTTCACCAGGCCAAAGAGAAGCAGCAAGTACAAAGAGGTGATTGCCAGAACGTCAGGAAATGCTTGAAAACTATTCAAACAGCTTAGTGGCTAAAGAAAGGCAGACTAAAACAACAAACTTGGTTTTCCAAGCCTAACAAAAATCCTACCTGAGGCTGGGCCTAGCTGAAGAGATGAGGGAGGAATGAGGATGTAGCTCAGGGTTAGAGTGCTTACCCAACAAGGCCCCTGTTCAATCCTTAGCACCACCAAACAAACAAACAAACAAGATAGAGGATACCTTGTTCTCCAGAGAAAAGAGGGGAGGTGGGGGTGGGAATCTGGGATCTCTCTGGCTCTGTGTCTCTGTCTCAGTCTGTCTCTCCCTCTCCCTCCCTCCCTTTCCCCCCCTCTTTACTGCCCTCTCCCCCCCTCTTTACTGCCCTCTCCCCCCCTCTTTACTGCCCTCTCCCTCTACATGTGCTGGTCTTTTCTATTCTCCCCTTCAGTGGTGGATTCCAAGAAACATTTTTCGCCTTTACCTGACCCTACTCTTCCCCTATTCTTATTTTTTATTTTTTTTTAGTATATCTATGCATGTACACTCAAGGGTTTTGTTGTTGTTGGTGGTGGTGGTGGTGATGCATTTTAGACATGTCTGTCATTCCATTTGTCAGATTCCAGATGTTGGTAATGTCTTGTATTTAGAAGGATGTGAGATATAGACGAAAGAACAGGGTATGAAATTAATCCTAGATTTCAATAATGGGTGACAGGGGGTCAGTGACTTCACCTCTTTGAGCTTGAGTTTTGTCTTTCATGAAATGGAAGCAACAGTCCTCATTCCTCAGGACTGTTCTACCAACAAACATGGGGCGGCAGGCAGCAGCCCTACAATGCATTCCCTGTAGGGGTCAGCTTTCTCCTCTTGACTCTCCTTTGGAGGCCTCAAGCCTGCCCTAGTGGCTTAAGATAAAATATAATGTCCTGGTCACCAGGGAGGAGGGAAGGTTGGCAGATCAGGGCAGTTCCCTGTGGGCCCGGCCTACTGCCCCTTACCTGATGATCACCAGAGGAATGAAGTACACGAGGAAAGCCACGATGGTCATGTATGGAGTCCAGTAGGAGTCATCTGGCCACAGGGCCCAGCACTGCACTTCTCCATTGGACAGTGTCCTTTTCCCAAAGATGATCAGGGTAGGGATGGAGAACAGGAAGGAGAGGACCCAGGCAACCCCAATGAGGACCTTGGCTTGTTTTTCTGCTCAAAAGAAAGGAAAAGAAGCCTGGGCACCTGGAAATAGTATCTGGGTGTGCACTTGGGGTATATTGAAGAAAAGATGAGCTGCAGGGATCTCCCAGAGCCTCTCCTGTCTCAGTTTCTTCATGTGTAAAATGGGGGGGGGGGTGTCTGCGTACAGCTCCCACCAAAAGTGACCATCTCCTTGAATTTCCCCAACCCTGACAGATCCTCCCTGTACCTTTGCTATCTGGTTGGTAAAATTACCTATCCATGTGTTTAGACTTGCAATCTTTAATCAGAAGTAAAAAAAAAGGTGAGCTTTTCTCTGCGCCTTCTGTGTATGTGTATTGCTTTGCTTTTGGATTCTTTTGTCCTTCACCTGTTTTCTGAGTGAGAGCCTCCTGACTTTTTCTTGCTAAAGTTCTCCCTTGAAAGGGTTTTAGATCTTTGCCTGAGGTGTGGCACAGAAATCTCTTCCATTTGTTCTCTTCCTCTTCCTTTATGATTCTTATTATTTATAGGACTAATTACACATTTTTGATGCAGCAAAAAACTATTTTCTTTCATTTGTGCCATTGGTATGATTTCTAGAAAGACTTTTGCCTTTTAAGATTATAAAGGTTTTATTTACTAAAAGTTTTGTTTTACCTGCTTGCCTGCCTCCCTCCCTCCCTCTTCCTTCCTTCCTTCCTTCCTTCCTTCCTTCCTTCCTTCCTTCCTTCCTTCCTTCCTTCCTTCCTTCTTTCCTTCCTTCCTTCCTTCCTTCCTTCCTTCCTTCCTTCCTTCCTTCCTTCCTTCCTTCCTTCCTTCTTTCCTCTCCTTCCTCCTTCTGTCTCTATCTCCTTCCCTTCCCCACAACCCCCTCTTTTTCTTTTGTCAGCGCTGGGATCAAACACAGGGAGGGTCTGATGTATTCTAGACAAATGCTCTACCATTGACTAATTCTCAACCTGTTTTTTTTTTAAGGATTTTTTTATTATTATTATGAAAATACCGTATAGAAGAGTTACAATTACATGGGTAAGATAATGAGTACATTTCTTATCAAGCATTGTTGCCTCCTCCTTTGTTTCCTCTTCCTATCCCTTCCCATCTCTCCCCCCCAACCCCCTCTCCTCCCTCTACTGCCCCCCCCCAAAGTTGTAAAGTTCGTTTTTCTACATAATGACTTGTATAGCTCAGCATCGCATTGTTGCCCCTCAGTAGATGAATGGATCAAGAGAATGTGGTATATAACCTGTTTTAATATAGACAATATTTACTTTTCCAATCCAAGTAGAAATTCTTTATAACTAGCTGTGACATGTGGTGATTTCATATTTATCTTAGTAGCAAGACAGCTAGCTACTCCATGATTACATATCGAGGTGTCTGTTTCTGGAATATGAACACATTGGCCGGAGAGTTTGTTTCTTAGTGCAGGTACACTTGTCAGCATGGCTGTAATGGCACGAGGTGACACCTTGCTTCAAGATCAATGTCACACTACGAGTCCAGCCAACTCCATCCCTCAGCTGTTTGAGCTATACCTGGAAATAACAAGTACCTTTTCTCAGTACCTAAGATTTCTTTCCTATATCTGTTTTTGAGCAATCAAATCCAGGTTGTGTGGAAAGACATAGAGGAGAACAAAATGGGGAGGAGACAGAGAAGAAAGGGGAGAAGGAAGAGCAGTTAAGAATACCATATCAATGAACAGCCCCCGCCCCTGCCCCTCCGTTCAAGGATGATGCTGTGAGAGAGCTCTTGCTCACCTCCTTGCAGAAACTTCATGGGGTGGACAATGGCATGGTATCTGTCTATGCTGAGGGACACCAGCACATAGGTAGAAGCGTAGAGCAGCACAACCTAAAGGCAGAGGAAACTCAGGACTTGGTGCAGATGAGAAAGTATATCACAAAATGCACAGTGTCTTGTGGGAGGGAAAAGTGGGAGAAAATGAGGGCGAGGGTAATAATGTTCGGCAAGAAATCTACACATTACTTTATTCGTGTAACTGCAACTCCACTGTATATCACAATAACAGAAAATACAAAAACAAAATAAAAACCTTTGGGATTGACTGGAGGTAGGAATGAGTGTGGAATTAGGAAGAGCAGACTGCAATTCTTTTTTTTTTTTTTTTGGGTCCGGTCATGGGGCCTGAACTCTGGGCCTGGGTGCTGTCCCTCAGCTCTTCAGCTCAAGGCTAGCGCTCTACCACTTGAGCCACAGCACCACTTCCGGCTTTTTTCTTTTTGCTTATGTGGTGCTGAGGAATCGAACCCAGGGCCTCAGGCATGCAAGGCAAGCGCTCTACCACTGAGCCATCTTCCCAGCCCAAGACTGCAATTCTTTGTGCTGGTATTTGCATTGCTACTACTCATTGGTGAGAACTCCCTCCTCATTCAGCTGGCTTCCTAGGAATTCCAGGGTTCAGGCTCAGTCCCTCTTGACATTTGCAACATACTTGTTTGCAATTAACTTTTAAAGTTAAACTAGTTATCTTGGCCACAATTGATATTTCAGAATAACTAGAAACAAAAGTTCCTTTGCCTTTTGTCAGTGTGAGTATGGCCAAATGAGTCACTTATGAGACCAAAATGAGTCATTTATGATCAAATCTGCTCAAGTGCAGTGAGAAACTCTCCTCTCAACCTCCACTTCCCTAGCAGAGATGTACCTGAGGGTCAGGTGTTCCGGAGTCCTCTCTTCCACCCTACTCATTTAGCAACCTTAGCTAGACCCTCTAGTTATTTTGTATACTGTATTATTTGCCTATTCTGCAGAAGAGGAAGTAGAAATGCTAAGACGTTAACTTCTCTCCTATATGGGACATATTTAGAATGCAATTAAATGGAATAACCGGGGTGGAATTTTTTTTCAGTTACCTTGAAGTGGTATTTCTATAGACTCCAGCTGTAACTTTGCTTTGCAAATTTAGGATTAAATCTACAGTGGACCAGAGAGGAACCTAAAGATAGAAGCAAAGAGTGACTGCCAGGCTTTCTTCTTGGTATTCACCTGGTTTTAATTTGTACCTGGCTGTTCTGATTTCTTTTCTCACTGGCCAATACCTAGCAACCAACTACATCTGCATCTTAACGTGCAATGGGGTTGTGTCCCAACAAACTCATTTAAATTGAGAATATATTAATTTGATAATGCATTTAATAAGTCCAACCCAGGGAACATCCCAGCTTAACATGCCATAAATGTGCTTAGAACATGTACATCGGCCTGAAGATGGTGAAACTCCCAACCACAATGCATATTCTATAATAAAGTATTGAGCATCTCATGCAATTTATTGAACACTGGACTAAATGATAAACAGACTGGCTATGCTTCCACACGATCATAAACTCTAAAACTCATCAGAAACCAGGGACCATCTGGACAATTCCATTCTCTATTTACATCATCACAAATGCTTCTCATCTCTAATGTAGGAGATACAGGGAACAGTTGTGAAGAACAATAGATTGGGGATTAAACCTTGAAGGACAGAAAGCAAATTCTCTGTTGAACAAAAGTTGACAAAAAGAGAAAGAGAGGATAGATGGCTAAGTGAAAAGGAAAGGTCAATCCGTGGGAGAAAAATTAGGTTTCAGCTTGTGATCCATGAATTCAGAAGGATTACGTCTGACCACAGATGACCGAGGGGAAGGCATTGTTACCTGTGGATGAAGCCAAGTCAGAAGATGACACACAATCTCTGAATTCCTGGCCAAGCCACCAAATATATTGGTCAGAAATTTGGGGCACCTAAGTCTGACCTCAGTTCTTTCATGTAGCAAGTGAGAAATTCAGGCATGATGTGAACATAGTAGCGAAGGTGATAGGAATGTTTATTGGAAAGGACATATGGCCGAGGGAGAAAGCATGGGGCACAGACATGCCACAGGAAGGTCAGCCCATTGCAGCCATCTTGTGCCATCTTCACAGTTGCAGACATTGGCTTTGGGTAAAATAGGGAGAATTGGGCTCCTTGGAGATGTCTTTCTGATTGGTGGATGGCCTTTCTGTTTGCTATGAAGTCATGGCACTGGCAATTTAGTGCCCTGTTCTTATGTCCTTATTCTTTTAAATTTTTATGTGTGTGTGCTAGTGCTAGGGCTTGAACTCAGAGCCTAGGCGCTGTCCTAAGCACCTTTTGCTCAAGGCTAGGGCTTGAACTCAGAGCCTAGGCGCTGTCCTAAGCACCTTTTGCTTAAGGCTAGTGCTCTAGCACTTGAGCCACAGCTCTACTTTCACATTTTTTTGATAGTTTATTGGAGATAAGAGTCTCGTGGACTTGCCTGCCCAGGCTGGCTTCACACTGCAATCCTCAGAGCTCAGCCTCCTGAGTAGCTAGGATTACAGGTGTGAGCCACCTGTGCTCATATAACAGGTTTCAAAGTTTACAAATTGAGAGATGTTGCTGGCTGCATTGGCTCACACCTATTACTAAGTACTTGGGTGGCTAAGATGGGAGAATCATGGTTTGAGGCCAGCCTGGGCAAAAAGTTCATGAGATTCATATCTCTACTAATAAAAAGTTGAGTGTGGCTGGGCACTGGTGGCTCACACCTGTAATCCTAGCTACTCAGGAGAGATCTGAGGATCACAGTTCAAACCAGCTGGGCAGGAGAGTCCGTGAGACTCTTATCTCCAGTAAACCACCAGAAAACCAGAAGTGGTGCTGTGGCTCAAGGCTTTAGCCTTGAGCTGAAGAGTGTAGGGGCAGTGCCCAGGCCCAGAGTTCAAGCCCTGTGACCCCCCCAAACCCCCCCCAAAAAAAGTTGAGTGTGGTGGTACTCACCTTTCAACCCAGCTATTCAGTAAGTATAAATAGGAAGATTGCAATCCAGGCTGGCTCAAATGTGAATGCAAAGGCTACTGGAAAAATAACTAAAGCAGAAAGGCATGGTTCAAGTGGTAGAGCACCTAACTAATAAGAACAAGGCCCTGAGCCAAACCCTGCACTATCAGAAAAAAATGGTGATAAATACAAAGATATATCAAACAATTAAAAACTAAAATGAGGTATTTATTGCAATACTTCTATAATAAAAATTAAATTGAAGACAAATAGAATTACATGTGACAGATTCTTTATGTTGATAAAACACAATAAATAACGGAAATAAAATATTTATAAAGGTATATGCAACATATAACATATCACTAAATGTGTAATAAAATTGTTCCAAGCTCTAGAACTTTACAGAAGAAAAATATGCACACAAATAAGTATGTCAGAAAAACTAAACTTTATAAAAATATCACCCATTATTGTAAATATACCTTGACAATGTTTTTTAAATGGTTATATGCTAAAATCTACCAAGAAAGAGAATCCCTCAGTAGACTAGAAAGAAAACTTATTTAAAAATTCACATACTTTAAACAAGCCATGAAGCTGAAATTAGTACCATGTTTTTTTTTTTAAATACCACTTGGAAATTTATACATCCTCATAATTAACTCAAGTCAAGAAGGAAATCAAAGTACAATTATAGCCAATTCATAAATGTCAACAATGAAAATTCTACACGTCAACAACATATGGGACTCCATTCGCAGAGCAGATGGCAGCCTTGGGACATATGTCTGAATTCTCACTACCCACCCCTTAATTCTGACAGAAATGACCTAGCAAATACAAAACCCAAGAACATCTAAGTGAGATTTAAATGCTGGAAACAAAGAAATTTTACTTAGAAAAATGCCAGATTGGAGTCAAATGAAGTAGAATTCTTGGACTGACTTAAAAAAAATACATACTTAGCTTTTTAGAACAGTTATATTTATTTTAAAATGCTTGCAAATAGTACATAGAATTTCTATGTTATTTGGTATTAGTGTGGTGTCAGAATGTTACATTTATGAATACTGACCAGTCAAGCCATGCACCAGTGGCCCATAACTGTAATCCTAGCTACTCAGGAGGATGAGATCTGAAGATCATGGTTCGAAGCCAGCCTGGGCAGGAAAGTCTGTAAGAGTCTTATCTCTCATTACCAATCAAAACAAACAAAAAAAATCCAGAAGTGGAGCTGTAATTCAAATGGTAGAATGCTTTCCTTGAGAAAAAAAAAAAAAAAACCCAAAAAGCTCAAGGACAGTGCACATGCCCTTACTTCAAGCCCCAGGACTGGCACAAAAAGAAAAACAACAATAACCAAAACTGACCAGTCAATATTGAGTCATTACTATTAACTACACATCCTGGTTTACATTAAGGTTCACTGTCTTGTATGATTCTGTGGGTCTAGGTATGCATAATGTCATGTTTCTTTCATTACATTGTTATGCAGAAGAATTTCTCTGACTTAAAAATCCCCTGTGTTTTATCTTTGCCTAATTTCTTCCTCCATATTCCCAGGAGCCACTTTTTAATTTTTTTTTTTTTTGTCATTGTGGGGCTTGAACTCTGGGCCTGGGGGCTGTCCCTCAGCTCTTCAGCTCAAGGCTAGCAATCTACCACTTGAGTCACAGCACAACTTCCGGTTTTCTTGTGGGGTTAATTGGAAATAAAAGTCTCATGGACTTTGCTGCCAAGGCTGGCTTTGACCTGTTATCCTTGAATTTCAGCCTTCTGTATAGCTAGGATTATAGGTGTGAGCTACCAGTGCTTGGCGCTTTTTTTTTTTTTTTTTTTTTGAGAATGTAATATAGTTAGAATCACTGTGTATAAAAAGGTGAAGACTGGATTCAGGCAGCAATGAATATATGTTCATTTTGTAATTCTACATTGTAGGTGTCTAACTGTTTATTCATTCAACGGTTTGAGGGACAGTTGAATTACTGCTATAAATGTCTTCTTTGTATATTCATGCACATGTTTCTGTGTGGACATAAATTGTGGAAGGCAATTGCACAAA